TTCTCCTCTACACGGACACGGGACCAGGGTGTCTGTCGATCTAGATCGCTTGCGCTCATGCCGGAGGGCTAAATAAAGTGTCAAAATACACTTTTTGTATTAAAAACCTCAGCGCTTTCGGTGGGAAAATACTCTTCAATGTGGCCTTGCAGCTTTTCAGTTTCAGTAATGCCCCGAATTTCCCTGCTATCATGAAATCGATCCGCACAAGGCGGCAACGATTTGTACCGGTGAAACTGAAACTGATCTGAAGAAAAGCTATGGCAAAGTTATGAGCGCAGCGATCGGCTCAGCGAAGCAGATCGCTGCGCTCATACTGTGGATAAAAATCTCGCCGTTTGTGACTTTTTGACATGCTTTAAAGCCTTATTATGCGTTCTGGGCTTACTGTACCACGTCAGTCAGTTATTCTTCTGCCCAGTCGATGGTTCACTCAAGGCCCACCAAGCTAGATAATTGCATCCAGTGTCCGTATATACTTCACTGAGTTCCTCAGCGCGAACATCAAAAGGTTAACCTGCACGGTGTTCTGAGATAATCTGAATATTCTGTAGGCTATGCCTAATAGTGATTTTCTAGTGGCCATCTTGGGCTAGCTGTTCTCAAACAGCGTTGTCTTAGATATTTTGCAGTATAACTGGGAGATTTTCGATCACGAAGACGACAACTGGCAGTGCGGCAGGATATATACTAGGTCACTGACGACTTTGGTCACGCCATAATCATTGACTTTGGTCGCGTGACCAATCCAGCTGATCACGTATTAGCGCGTGTCCTAATAAACGTTGATCACGCATGAAAAGCTTAAAGAACGATGCTGCTTCTAGAAGCATGAAGCCATTCAGGGATTCATCGGGAAGCAACCAATTCGCAAGTCTATTATTAGATAGTTGTAATTGCCAACGTAGCCGTATTAAGACACTTCAGCGAGTGGCGGTCGGGAGATCATTGTTAGAAACTCCTTTAGTTGCTGATGAGTCGCTCACCCTCGTCGTCCAGAGCGCGTAGAGCTCGATACTCGCCTACATCCCGTCCGCGAACCCGTTCAACAAGTCCCCATTACACACTAGAGGATAATGAAGCGTCGTTGTTGACGTTAGTCGAGTCTTCCCCTCCAACACAACCAGCAACGCCGACTCCGATCCAACCGCCAACGCTGCGCTTGCCATCTGCAACAGGTTCATACGCAGCCAGCCCATTATCTCAGTGCTCGCAGCCTGACCAAGCTGTCGAGGGTCAAGCGTTGATACCGTCTTCTCCTGGTCGTCCTCCACGTCCTCCACGAGTTGGATCGCCGCAGACATATCCCCACCAGCAAAGCCGCGATGATAAAACCAAAATTTACCACCAGGGTTTTGAGTACACTCGTGCAAAGATTTCTGCAGTTAAAATAACCTACAGATGCAGCTTCTATAGGAAGCCAAAGCTGTGTCCTGCCGTCTTGTACTTCTACGCTGATACTATGACCTACGACTTTAAAAGCTCAGCTCCACATACATGCAAAAGCAGACCCGTTGCTGATTTGGCAAGTGATGATTCGGTCTGCGTCAATGTGGAAGAAGAAATGAAAGGAAACATACCCTCCTGATCTGTGGAATATATATCGAGTAAAAAGGGATATCGTGAATAGGACGAATAACCCTTTAGAGCGATTTCACCGCGAGTTGAATGCCAGGGTGAAGCCTCATCCATCACTAAAGTATTTCGTTCGCTCTATTGAGGAGCTAGCCAGGGAGTATGTCGTACTCCGTAAAAGCATAATATCCGGCGATGCTGAAGCCCCTCTGAGGCCACCAATGCGCTTTCCGAGACGGGCAACTCTCCCTGACACTGGCGATACTGATAGCTCCTCCAGTGACGACGACGATGACTGTGCACCTGGCGGTGGTAGTAGTGACGCTGACTCGGAGCTTTCAGACGAAGACCTGGGCATTGTGTACGACACTTCCTTTGACTACGAGATTGAAGACGATGAAGAAAAATCAAATGCCGCCTAGACTGCTAGTCATACTGAATACAACCACATTTGTTGTGAATATTATATTATTGCGGGTTGCCCTTCACGTGATCAAACGATGTTTGGTCACGTGACCTAATCATTTTTTTCAAAGGAGATAGTGACCTGTGAAAGTGATTACCTGGCAGTGCTCCCTCGAAGGAGAACTTGATCAATTTCTGAGGGAGTGAGACTTCCTTTATAGTCCTGGTTTGCCACGCGTACGCATTGAATTCTTCGTACTTGAATAGTATATGCACTTGGCAGTTCTCGTTGACGTAGATGCGTTATGGCCTGGCCATCATAGCATGTTAATACGCTATCACGCGCGACAAGTTGAACGAAGGTCATCCAAGCAGAATGCTCCTTGAAGGTCTCCTAATGTTACTTGTAACTCAGTCGACATTTGGAACGATATAATGTCTATGATACCCTGCAGGATATTCCGTATCCCTCCCGGTATTAATACTACTGTAGATGAGATCTCCCGTCTCGAGGTTAATTAGCGTTATATATTAGTAAATGTCTAAAAAGGCTGCACGAATGAAGGAGATATGAGCATGAAATCGTGCTGCCGAGGATGCAGGAATTTATCCGGTGCGGCGAAAACATGCGCAGTTCGAATTAAAAGTCAACTCCTCGTTGGACTAACGCAAGATCACTTCAACGCTAATACCAGTACTCACATGCAGTGCAAGGTCCCATTTTGAACTAAATATGAACCTAGCAAAGTGGCATTCCCGAAATGGAATGATTCACAGTCAGTTTTAATCTCACCTTTCTGGCAAAGCAAACGAGCTCAAATTGTTCCAAGTTCCACGAGCTAATGGGAAAGGTTGAACCAGAACCAACACGTAAAGGTCCGCACAAGCCTTCGATCGACTCATCGGTGACACTTCGCGAGAGCCAATATGTCACGGTTAAAACAAAGAGCAAACGCTCGATCATGCGAGGCCAAATATTCAACATCATACGTCGACTTGCCGCAATTGCTGCAGCGATCCAGTATGTTATCGTTTCCATGTCGGCCACATGGTGGGCTCTGCAAGTTCTGAGCGGAGCGCACAATCCTGTGGAGACTTTACGAGTATTCCCGGCATCTCTCGTCCAAGGGTATCTAGGCGAAGGGCTCATTCGCGACAGTCCTCTGGTACAAGATATACTAGGCGGTGACACAACTCCACGAGACTATGCACTGTTCCTTGAGTCGGAAACGAAGACCTCCACGGAAAACTGCTCCACAGTGCCTCTTTTTAATTCTGCAACCTACAACTACGAGTTTTTAAGCGAGAGATACCAGGGAATGATTGACGACACAAAGTATAACACCTCCCAACTTGCCAATTTGGAGCTCGTACTGATTGTAGTCGACTGTACGTTCAGGCAAATTGTGCTGGGGGACCCGTCTGCAGTGCGAGTGTTCAACTTAGTTCGTTCGCGATTTGACCCCAACGACTTGTATTTGATCACAATGTCGTTTAACATACAAGAATTCGAGATCCGCGAATTAAAGAAGAAAGGTCCAGCCATGGTGGGTATACTCACATTGGTGCAAGACATGCAGGCTGAAACAGTGGATACGTTTTATATGGTCGCACTACGTTATCCGTACGAGCGCGTGCCAACCTTCGAGTTGTACGAGCGGGTAGGAGTAACGAGTGATAGTTATCGGGAGCTGCGCAGTATTCCACGAGATCCGCTGACTAGTCCTGTTAAACATGTGCTCACGGCACGAAAGCGCGGCTTCTTCCATGGCGACACTCAGTGTAATGTTCGTGTAATGTATTCATCGCTGAATGGGTTGAACGCTAAGACAGCGCTCACACGCTGGGAATGGATTGGTCAGGCTATAATAGTGGATTCGTGGGCCTGGGTGCACTGCATTCACTTTTTCTTTGGCTTGCAGACAATTTATTCCTTGATTGTGCTTTTTCTCGTGACGTATCAGAAGATTCGCTCGGGTAAAGTTTGGATCGGCGATCCATTCTCATCGATATCGACAGCAGATATAGTGATGCGGGGTATCCTCGTACTAATCTCATGCTTTCTTGACGGTTTTTGGTCTGTCAACGAGTACGCGATGTCTAGAGCCACGATGCTTACAGGGTCCCAATCGGTTCGTGTCCATAAAGAGATTATGCACGCTGACATCCTGGTGATCGTTCTAAGTCTGGTGGGTTTTATTAGTGCTATCTTTCGCGAGCGCCTAGATCCATCAATTGCCATCTTCCTCTTCGAGTTTATTCACAAATTCCGTTTAACTTTGATTCGAACTGCACCGGCCGTTGTGGAGAGAGTTTCGACGTACTCAAACATTCAATGGCACCTTGGTATGGCGAAGGTCACTCCTGAGGTCGCAGCGTTGTCTCCGCTGCGCATGTGGTCATCGTTCCAGTTTCCAGCTAAGGATCCAGCGTTTATCATCGTTTCTTTCTTTCCCACGACGTATCTGATGGTTTCAATGTCGGCGCTTGCTATACTTCGCAAGATCTATCGGTGGCGTTATCCTGATAGAGTTCACACCAGATCAAGCCAAAGTAAAGATACGTCTGGAAGCGAGAATGCCGCCATGTCGACGAAAGGAATTGTTACTAACTTTGAAATTTCAACCGGCGCGATGCTCCGTAACCGGTTCGGTCTTATTTCAGACTACAACAACTATGTCTACTTCAAAGGTATGAAGTTCGCATCTCCTGATGGTGTCTACTGTTCGGGCTACGTGATTGTCAACGGCAAATATCTAGTGAGTACGAAAAAGTTGCTGGAGGTTGTCATGATCAAGTTGTTCCACGCACGTCTTACGAATGTGTATGCGTACGAAGTAGACGGAAACACTGTCAAGGACACTGCTAGACTTGTGTATCCGAATACGTTCATGTGGTCCGATTTGTGGCGTCTTAACGTCACAGTTCTACTTTAGTTAATCAGAATGAAATATATATTATGCATTTTGGTTTATGAGCAAACTAAAAAAAAATTATATTTTACAATTGTTTCTGGGTGTTTATTTTCGCGATATCTTACTAGTGTTTTTAACCGTCGCGACCTGTAGCTTTAGTGGTAAAGTTGTCGAGTCGAGCGTAGCAGTTCGTATCATGTCAGAGCCGCCGCCATCACCCGGGGGAAAGAAAAAGGTTCCAAAGCATCTTCGCCATGCCATTTCTAGTCGGAACAAGGTGGTGACGGCAACACGCTCAAAGCGTAAGCCTCGAGTGTATCTGGTAAAGCGATTCACGGGAGAGCCCATGCGCGAATGGGTGCAACGAAACCTCGAAAGTTCCTTGGCTGGCAACACTTTCAGTGCTACCATGGCCATTTTGAGTACTTTCCAGGCTCTATTTCACGTTAGTCTCAACTGGACAGGACTCCGAATTGGACTCGATTCATGGATGCAAGGTACAAAATGATGAGTATAGAGAGGTCTATTATTTGTCTGGAACTAATCTTTAAATCATTATCAGAGGTTGATTTCAGCCTGAACTTGGTTTTCACTCTCGAGTACGTCTGTATTTCAAAATATTAGCATCAAAATTCTAACCTTGTTTATTTAGGTACATCGTTCACGTGTATGCGGCGTTCGATCGCCTCGAGTACATCGTGAGTTTCTTTCCGCTTGTCGAGTTTGCTGTAGTTCTGCCTTCGTGGTTTGACCTCATCACCACGCACACACCCAGCATCGACTACGCTGATACTCTTCCTCAGGTTTCTCGGATGTTGCGTCCTCTACGCTTCATTCGTATTTTTCGACTTGTGCAGTTTGCGACATCATCTCTTCAACAACAAGCTTGGGCTGCGATGCTCACTATTGTTTCTATTGTCTTCACAACAGCTGGTGTGGTACAAGCAACCGAGGCTTGTCTCCAAGAGTGTGATGGAGAGCCAAAAGTGTGCAAATGTCGCGATCTGTCGTTCCCGAATTTACTCTACTTTGTGGTTGTCAGTATTTCAACGCTAGGCTATGGTGATATCTCTCCAGTGTCCATGATTGGCAAGTTCGTTATCGCCTTTGTTATCCTTTTCACGTTCATTGTCGTGCCGATCCAAGTGAACCGTATTCAGGCCACTATCACATCGCACACAGACTACTCGTCTGCTTATTCTGAGGCCAAGCTACACCCGCACGTGATCCTCACCGGATTCGTCAATGCTGACTCGCTCTCGGTATTTTTCGGTGAGTTTTTTCATCCCAGCAATCTCAATTGGAACGAGCGAGTGGTGATTCTCAACGCCGCTCCACCCACACCCGAAATCAACAAGGTGTTGCACGTATATGACAGTAAAGTCCAGTACATTGTGGGCTCTCCAATGCTGGATGAGGACTTAACCCGAGCTGTTTTGAGCGATGCGAGCGCTTGTTACGTCCTTGTGAACCGACAGTCTTCACGTCCACAATATGCTGATCAGTGCTGTGCACTTATAACAATTGCTCTACGTCGTGGAAACCCTACTTGCCCAATCTACGCGCAAATTATCAACTCTCGGAACGCTGCTACGTTGCTCAAAATGGGTGCTAGTGACGTGATAGTAGTCGGGATGCTCAAGTTTTCGATTCTAGGACGAAGTTGCCAGGTGAACGGGCTGCCAACACTTCTTCTTAACCTGCTTGCTCAATGCAACAGCGATCTGGATAGTCATCATTCATCTCTGCAATGGCAGCGTCAGTATCTCCATGGCTACATGCACGGTATCTTCCTTGTTGATATCCCACGAACCTTCTCGAGTCTTACATTTGGAGACCTCATTCGCTTCCTGTACGACAAGGCGTCTATAATTCCACTAGCGATGCTAACTGATGATGGAGTGCGCTTTATCGACATGGACTTCAAACTTGGTGCCACCGCGGACCCGAACCTTTGCTGTAAGGTATACGCCATTGCTAAGGGTCTCAGTGCTGTCGAAGGTGTCATGAAGATCCCACCGGAGCAGATTCTGTCGTATCGCAAAGGTATGCGTCGTAAAGGCAAGTCAACATCGGCTAGTAATTTGATGGACATGAAAAAAATCAAGCCCGCGCTGGGCAATGAGGTCGAGCAGATCCGCGAGAGTATCATCAACATGTACACTGTCGCTGAAGACTACGACGTAGAAGCTGCGATGGGTTTGGCTGAAAAAGATTCCAACGGGTACAACACAAGCTCCCACGAACGTTTAATGGGGGAAATGTCGGAGTATGAGCGCTTTGCAGCGCTAGGAGTGCCTGAGGATGTCGCTGATCACATTGTAGTGTGCGGCTTCCCATCCGACACTTACCATTTCATCAAGACCATTCGGGAGGTGCCTATGCCCGACGATAATACCCCGTCCCCAGCCGTTGTATTTCTGGCGTCGAAGTGCCTGGACGAGCGCGAATTTGAGCGTCTGCGTGGATTTTGTGACGTGTTTTTTGTGCAAGGTTCACCTGTGAACTTTGGTGATCTCAAGAAAACTAACATCCGCTTTGCGATATCGGTTTTAATCCTCACTCAGTCGTCTGAAGCGCAGTACTCAGACCCGAATATGGTGGATGCTGACGCTATTACCATTGTGAGGTACATTGTGGAGATTAGTCAACGCACACGGATGCCCAATCTCGTGGTAGAGTTGGACAAATCGTCGAATGTCAAGCTGCTGAGCTCGCTCGCCAATGAGCGTCGTACGAGCTCTGCCTTCGGGTTACCAGCACTAGTAGTTCGTAACGTATCATATCGTTCTCCTCGACGTGAAAGCGTGTCCACTGTTGCGCGACGTGACTCGTTGTGGTCTTCTCTCGACGAAGGGGACGGCAACACCGACGCCTCACTCGTGCTGGAAGAGTTCATCGCATCTGGACGAGTTTTCATGAATTCAATGCTCGATTCGCTTTTAAGCGAATGCTACAGGAAGCCGTGGATCACTCAGTTCCTTCACTTACTCATCAACGGCAGCGTCAACGATCTCGAGTACGTATCTTTTTGCAGTGTGAAGGTGTGCTAGGACATTAACACTGATACTTTTTTTAGAGAGCGCCGCCTGTTCCAGGTCGAGGCACCTGATGAGCTGGTGGCTCTAAAATATGGCGAATGCTTTCGCAAGTTCCTTGACATGGTCCATGCTTCCTTTTCAGTACCAGTTTAGGAAATGAGCTCGAACTAACATCTTCTTTGCTATAATTTTGTCCAGGCAAGTTGCATGATTATCGGGTTGTGGCGACCCGAGCGTGGCGTGGTGCTTCCCCACCCATGTGTCTTTATTAATCCTCCCATGGAACTTCAAATCGAGCCTGGTGACCTCTTCTTCGTTGTTGGGAAGCCTTTCACCTTCACCTCAAGCCCGGATATCTTTTCGCTTTAACATTAAAGTTGAAGTAAAAGTTGTATTTTTATTCGTTTTTTCACGAATCAAAACCCGTTATTATCTTATTTTCATCCAATCATATCTATACTTCTTCTGTGGTGCAGCATTATTAGTGGCGACGTTGTATAGCATCGCGTCCTGCTCGGTCCTACGCGTAGATGAGTGCGTTCAGGTCCAAGTTCCTGTATCCGGCCAAGGTGAACTGGTTCCCGGGCCATATGGCCCTGGCTAGACGTCAAATGGTGGCACAAATGGACGCTGTGGACGTGTTGATTGAAGTGCGAGATGCTCGTATCCCTTGGAGCTCAGCTAACCCCGTCCTGGAAGAAGCGTTCGGCAAGTCTAAGCCTCGTCTCGTGGTCTTTAATAAGAGTGATCTGGCCAACTCGAACATGCAACAACGAGTAGAAAAGCAGTGCAAAAACCAGCTCGGAGAGGCGACCGATTGCCTCTTCACGTCCGTGACTAAAGGCAAACGGCTGCAGGCCATTTTGCAATGGTGTAACAAGCACAGTCAAGCTCAATTCAAGAGCACAGCCGGATCTATGGTCATGGTGGTCGGTATCCCCAATGTGGGCAAAAGTTCGCTCATTAACGAGTTCCGAAGGCTCTCGAACTCCGGAAAACTGGCCAAAGGTCGAAGTAGGGCGACAGTGGGGCCGACACCCGGCGTTACCGTTCGCAACGACATTATCAAAGTCTGTATAGCGATTTGGAGGAAGGCTGAGTTAAAGGTTATCGGCTAATGTGAATATTTGTTGGTCTAGGTGAACGACAAGCCGGCGGTGTACGTGGTGGACACACCTGGTGTTATGCTACCCAATATCCCGTCGGCGGAGACGGGTATGAGACTGGCGCTAACAGGAGCGATCAAGGATGAAGTGGTGGGCACGGAGCTGATTGCAGACTATATGCTGTTCCTGCTAAACCAGACGAAGTCGACGCGGTACGTGGACGCGCTGAAGCTTCCAGGTCCGACAGACAACATCGGTGAACTATTCAAGCTCGTACACAAGCGGTGCGGTGCACTGGGCAAGGAGCCGGACGTTCAAGACCGTCTCGCTGCGCAGTTCCTGCTAGCAGAATTCCGTCGAGGAGCGTTTGGAAACTTCACTCTAGACCCCATCGAGTCACCGCCTAAAGTCATCAAACCTGCAGCTCCTACGTCGTAAAATGCCAAACCGGGGATAATAGACTCACATCCTTTAATGGCTAACCCTCAATAGTGCGAGGATCAGCAAAGTCCCAAGGTGTGAGGACGAGAGCGAGGTTAATGATCCGCTATTCTTAGTGGGCTGCCAATGGCTGCACCTGTTCATCCAGTTTGCAAGTTGCTCGCTGCTCTTGAAGTCGTTTCGACAAGCGAACTCGACGTACACAGATAGCTCGCGCTTGAGACTGCCCTTAAAATAAGGTGCAACCGCCGGTGGCAAGTCGGAATGATCCCATTCCCGCTTTTCCAAACGAGGCACACTAGAATGACCGACACGCCCACGCGGGTGTCCATGGCGAAAGTGATCCCTAGAGATGCGTCAGGCAAGGTGACCGATATGGTTCGTAGCAGTGGACGTAGTGGCACCAACCAGCTCAGCAAGAACGAGTCTCCTTTGTATACACTTCCGTCGCCCAAGACGCCCAATGGCGTGAGCAGTGCACCGGTATCTCCGCAGAAAGGCACTCGACTGCACATTATGGGCGCCAGTATGCACGACCTCAAGCTCAACCACATTTTCCGTCCCCGAGCGAGCAGACACGGCGAGACTCCAAGCCGTCAAGAAGACATTGGCATTTCCTTCGTGTCGCTCGAGTTTTCCAATGCAGAAATGGAGCAACGATTCACGTTGGCTCGATGTGTCAAGTACCAGACTCGACTCAAATTTGGAGCAGGATTCACCGCCTTCTTTATTCCATTGCTGGTTATTATGCAAGTGAGCTTCAAGGCCAACTCGGAAGATGGTGGCAAGTGGACCCAGCTACCGCTGGTTATGGTCTTCCCGGGTGTCGTCACCTTAATGGGGATACTCGTGATCCTCTTCCAACACTTTTTCATGACCCACATGCGCTGGTTAACTCTGGTCTGTCTAATCGGACAGATCAGCGCGTTACTAGACACCACGGCTGCTGGTACTATGGTGAGCGAACGTAACATTTGGGTGCAGTTCATCTTCTCACTGGGTATCACGAGCTCGACGGGGTTAACCTTTCTCAAGTCGACTACAGTGCTGGTGTGCTCCAGTATATTCTTCCTGATTCTAGCTTGGGTCCGCTTTGCTAGTAAAACGTCCACTGAACAGCTCAGTGCTCCTGGAACCGTGAGTGCTGCTATTATCCTCTACTCGATCTTGCTCTGCTTCTTGTCGTGGAACTGGGAGTACGAAGAACGTCGCGACTTCGTGTTGACTGAAAGACTCGCTCAAGAGAACGTTATGGTGCAGATGACCATGGAGATGACTGGCTGGTTCAGCGGTGGAGCTGCAGATCAATCGCCCGACAACAGATCCGACGCTGGTGGTATTCTCAGTGCGAATTGCCACATCGACCCCAAGGACGTGCTAGTAAAGGAGGAACTGGGTGAAGGAACCTTTGGTTGTGTGTATGCAGCCACGTGGAAAGAGACTCGCGTTGCTGTTAAAAAGATCACTTTACAGGGTGACACCAAGTCCATCGTGACGAGTTTTGGCTCAGAAGCAAGTGTCATGGCTCAACTGCGTCACCCGAACGTGGTCATGTTCATGGGCGTCATGGTTCACCCGGAATTCGTCGGTCTGGTCATGGAACTCTGCCCTAAAGGAAGTGTGTACAGCGTCATCCACAATAACGACGTTAAGATCGATTGGTCTTTGTTGCTGCGTATGATGGTCGACTCGAGTCGTGGAATGCACTTCTTGCACTCGAGTAAACCGCCTATTCTCCACCGAGACCTCAAGAGTGTGAACCTACTTATTGATGCCGACTGGAGATGCAAGGTATCGGACTTTGGTCTCTCCAAGCTCAAAGCGTTCCGTGAAGATCGAAATGATGCGAGTATGAACGCTAATACTAATACTGGGAACACGCCTAATGTTTCTCGGGTGTTCATCGGCTCGAGTGTCTGGATTGCACCTGAGGTATTCAAGGGCGAGGAACACACTGAAAAGACCGACGTGTACAGCTTCGGTGTCATCATCTTTGAAGCGTTGAGCAGCTCTGTGCCGTACAATTCCATCTCGGTAGATGCAGTTCCCTTTGTGGTTCAAGCTGGAAAACGTCCTATTGACTTCCACGCTTTGGAGTTACCTGAAGGGGATGCTATGCAGGATCTCTACACTCTCATGACACGTTGCTGGAGCGCTGAGATTTACGCTCGGCCGTCATTCTCTGTCATCATTTCGACGCTGCAGTCTATTCTGACCAAACACTGCGGTGACGAGAAGTGGGAAGATCATATTATCTACCCCGACCGGAAGATCGTAAGCGCTTCGAACGCACCAGCGGATGACGATGGATTGTCTATCCGTGAGGAGGATTTGGTTATCGATTCGGCTATCGGACGCGGCGTCTTTGGAGTCGTGTACAAGGGCAGCTACTTCGGTACTCCTGTCGCCATTAAGAAGCTACATGTGAGTGGTGTACCTAAGAACACATTGGTGGAATTTGAGAAGGAGTGCAGTATCATGAAAGGTCTACACCATCCGAATATTGTGCTGTTCATGGGCTCCTGCTCCAAGCCACCTACGCTCTTGCTGGTGACTGAGCTGCTTGCGAATGGAAGTTTCTTCGATATCTACCACAAGATGCCACGTCCTGAACCAGCTCGTCAGTTGCGTCTGGCTTACAGCATAGCGTTCGACATGGCCAAAGGATTGGCGTATCTGCACAACCACAATCCGATCGTGATTCACCGCGATCTCAAGTCCCAGAACATCCTGTTGGACGATCGGATGCGCACCAAAATTGCAGACTTTGGTCTATCCAAGTTCCGTGATGTTGGTAAGACGATGTCTATCTGCGGTAGTCCGCTCTGGGTGGCACCGGAAGTGCTCCGTGGTGAGAAATATGGCACTCCATGCGACGTCTACAGCTTCTCGATCATCGTTTGGGAGGCACTGGCTTGGGGAGAGCCTTACCCGGATCTGGGTTCGAGTGACATAATGAACGGCGTTGCTGGAGGAAATCTACGCCCGACTGTGCCGGACGGAACACCTACAGCGCTGGCCAGGTTGCTAGAAGAGTGCTGGACCAAAAAGCAGGACCAGCGCCCGACGTTTAACGAACTCGTACCAAGACTCGAGGCTATGGGCAAGGATTTCGGAGTCTAGACTTGGTGTCCAAGCAACAGAAAACTTTAGTTCACTTACTGCTAGCTAGTACAGTAGTCCTTCCAAGTATTAGGCTAGCTTCCCATCTTACCTGGTTCCTAGACAACTCCGCTCTCATCGTGTATTTAATACAGACAATTCTATTCTTGTGCTGCGATGTTCTACTCGCTTTTCTCTTCAGGTGTCAGCGCTGACTGGAAAACACGGTAGTGGTGATTCAGCGACTTGATCGTGTGCAACATGAATGAGCTCATGAGCACGCCGTCGCCAGGATTAGCGCGATCAAACACAACACGCCGAGCTCGACTGTGCACCAATGCCATGGCACACATAGCGCATGGCTCTTGGTCAAGGTACACGTCATATCCAGTGCATAAGTACGACTCGCTCTTCTTGCTTTCGTCCTCCACCAATTTTAAAGTGGCTGTGGCTTCTTCATCTTCGCACTTCTGCTTCTTGCGACCAGTCTCCTTGTCCTCTTGAGCCTCTCGTCGGCGGTCACGTTCTGCAACCGCATCGACTGCTATCATCACGGGGTGATATAGCGTCTCAAATTTGTATTTAGTTTGCGTATCCTCACTCAATTCCGACGTAGCAACCTGCTCGTCCACGTCGGGGTCCACGACCACACAGCTCCATGAACAGTTTAGTGTTTTCTGTCTCTCCTCCTTCAGCTTCTTCCCAACTTGCACCGCCGTTCTCAAGTGTTTCTCCATCTTCATCTTCTCCTCTTCCTCAATTGCAGGCAATACTGCAGCCTCCTCGACGCTGGCGTGGAAGATCAGCGGCCAGTGCTTCGTGTGCTTCTCAAACAGTTCACGAGTGCGTGGTGCAAGCTTCAGAGTCTCCGCTGTCGTGAGTTTAGCCTCAAATATTGTCTCCAATTGTTGCAAGTCGTGTGAAGACGTTGAAATGTCTGGATCATGGGAATTTAATGGACATACAAGTGCCACGAGCATTTTCGGCATCTCGGGGTGCTTCTTGAGACGCTTGAGATGCGCGAAACCGAGCGCCGTTAGTGGCTGAAAATTGGTGGAAAGGTGCTTCATGACCTTGGAGCCGAACCGGGCGGGAAATTCCAATGCCACGAAGAGCTGCTGCGCCTCCAGCACCTCCGGATCAACTGCATCAGGAGCCACGACTTCCAGGAGCTCCATTTTCGACTGGCAGATGTTAAATAGTGTTTCATACACAAGTCTAAAGAATAAATTTCGACCATCGAAAAGTTGAAGCGTAGCCATTTACAGAAGGTCATCCTCGACCTATTTTCTGAGCTGGGGACTGCATTGCAGCGTTCTTTCGCTGATGTCATGCCATCACACAAGTTATTAAGTGTAGCTCCGACGCAGCCGAAGGTGCTGCCGTTCGCATCTGCAACGGATTCCACGCTTCATCGCCCGGCGTGGAGGAGCACCCGAGCAATTGAGTCTTCTACGCTGACTCCGCGTCGAGTAAGAGAGTTCTTAGTATCATTGTGGTATGTGGCTAACAGAAGCCTTTGTTGTGTTAGTAGCCACCTTCTCGGTTTCGTGGCCAACTACGCTACGACCTGCTTGGTCCTTTGCAATCACCAACTCCAAGGACAGTGGAGTCAACATATGCTTCTGAATCGCCAGTAATCGGTGGCGGTTCTGAGACTCCTAACGGTGTTACAGGCGAACCTGAGAGTCCAAATCCAGTCCAGCAAGTAATCGCTACTATGAAAGACGTTGCTGTTGCTGTTGCTGATGTAACTGCAGCAAGTGATGAAGCAGTAGCAAAAGGTCGAGATGCTGCTGCGAAAGCTTTAATGACAAATCTAGAAGAGTTGAAGTGGTTCCAGCATCGGTGGCTGGATAAACACGGCAGGGACAGCAACCTCAAGACGACCCGCGAACAATTAGCTCTCATGCGACGTTGGTTTGATTCACTTGACGCCGATGGATCGGGCGAAATCGGGTTGGACGAGCTGGAAGATCCTCTTGTATCGGTCGGACTAGCAAGCAGTCGGGATGATGTCCAGCATCTAATTGAGGAAGTAGATGTCAATGGCACCGGCAGCGTTACTTTCGACGCATTCTTGAATCTATTCTATCCTGAAAGAGTCAAACGTGAACGGATCCGAAGATTTCCTCCGCCACTGCATGCTCCTAAACATCGACCCCCGGCGCGGCTCAAAGTATCTCCAAGTCCATCCGGAACGAATCCGATGGTAAAACGTTCTAGACAAGTCGAAACTAATGTTGTCAATCCAGTGGCACGTCTATTTGAGAACCTCCAAGCAGGCAAACTCGGCGATCTAGCTGTTCCTTTCCCCGTTCTCATCACGGCCTATCGACGACGCATGTTACTTGACGCGCACATGGCTGACAATCCGGCTGCAAAAAGGTATCGTACGCTCTTGGTCGATGAATGCAGACTATTAAATGGAGTATTGACAAAACCATAGAGTGGGGTCCTCTGTGTTGCAGGCACTTGAAACAACAAAGCGAGAAAACTCCATGCCGGACATGTATGACTGGCGCAAGACTCATTTCGACCTTCAACACCATTTTCCCACACTACAGGCCCGACCAACATCATTTAAAGCAACAGAAGCGATCAAGAAATAATTATAACACAACTGACATTCTCTTTTCTCTCCCTGAATCAAATCTCGCCACTTTACAGATTCATTTCAAGCGCCAAAACATCTCGCCCGTGCCGAAAGGCAGCTCGACTCACAATATCCTATAGCGTCGCTGTCCTTGATGATGCACTCTCGAACGTGAGAGGCCTTTTAAAGCCCGACTCCATCTACTCGTCCGATAAAGACACCACCCCTAACCAGTAAGGGCAGCTCGGCTTCTTTCGCAATGGGCAGGTAGGTCCGCAGCATCCACTCCCACGCCCTGCCACTTCCCTCTGGCTTCCCGTGACCCAAGTTCGCCAACAAGGCATCCGTGGTGTTCCGTCCTAATCTTCTCTTCGCATTGCGTCGTTGCTTGCTGTTTCCGCCACCTTTCTGACTGTCGACCATCGCTCATATTGGGCTCAAAAAAAGTTACTTGGCATTCACTGTACTCATTGGTGGAGTCTTCGAAGAGCCACTAGTACTTGTCACAGGCTTCTGCATTGCTGTCTGAGACGGCTGAGAGGCTTGAGGTCCCGACGTTGCAGCGCCCGGGTGCTGTTGGTTCGGGGCAGCACCCTGCTGACTGCCAGCCTGGCCGGCAGCTCCTCCTACTTTTGTGCGCTTGAAGGCCGCTGCGTTTGCTGCTGCTGCCATCTGCTGCTGAGACTGTGAGAGCGTTCTCTTCTGACCCGCCAAGTGCGCTGGATCGTTGCTTCCGTTCTTCATTGAGTCGCCTCCAGACAGTCCTGAGCTCCCATCGCCTTGAAGGTCATCAGATCCCAGCAGCGACGACGACAGATCCAGATTCAGGAAGTCGGAAGACTCGCTCAGGCTCATATCTCCACTCATACGCTGCTGGTTGGCGCCACCGTTTGCCTGACCATTCCGCTGGGCTTGAGCTTGAGCTTGCGCACGAGCTTGGGCCTGGGCTTGCTGTTGCTGTTGCTGTTGTTGCTGCTGTTGCATGTAGTTCGGGTTCTGTCGCTGCTGCATCTGCTGCTGCATTTGTTGCTGTTGCATTTGCCGCATCGAGTTCTGACGTTGAAGTGCTTGGTTCTGCTGGAACTGCTGCTGTTGAAGCGAGTTTTGACGCTGCATCTGGGCTTGTTGCTGAGCCTGCTGCATTTGAAGCTGCCGCCGCTGCAGTTGGGCTTCCTGGAACTGCTGCAACTGCTGTGGGGTGAGTTGCTGCCGCATCTGGGGGTTCTGCTGCATCTGCATCTGCAAGTGTTGCTGCTGCATCAACTGCTGCTGAGTCATTCGGTTTCCATAAGGCATGTTACCTACTACGTGGCCTTGAGGCATCCCGCCAGCTCCCGGGTTCATAGCCATGCCTGGAGGAGCATCACCAGCCATCATCGCCGCGTTGCCGGCGGTTCCAGTAGCACTACCCGGTACAGCACCAGTGCCTGTTGCACGAGGATTTCCACCGGCCTTGTGTTGTGCCCGTGCACCCATCGTCACAGCCAAATGCTGTAGTCGCGTCTTCAGCGATGAAAAATCGCCATACTCATCCCGATTCTTCGCTGTACGGTACAATGAATCTTCTAGTCTCCTAGCCATATCCGGCAACCGTCGAATCCACTCAGCAGGTGCATCCGGTTTTCGCTGCTGCAGCAAACTAACACTGTACAACATCAACAGCAAAACAAAGACAAATTAGCCATCAACCGCTGGGAATTTCATCATTGGGTACGTACATTTTGCCGATCATCTTCCGACGTAGAGGAAGGTCGTTCTCCGACTGCCACGCCGTCTGCGTATCGTTGCTGCCACCAGGCGTCCGACCGGCAGCGCGCTGTTGGGCCTGTTGTTGCGCCATTTGCGCAGCTCGCATCCGTGCTGCGTTCATCATACCCGCTTGCTGTGCGTTCTGCTGGGGATTACCCATCATCATGTTCGGATTACTATACTGCGCGTACGCCGCGTTGCCAGGAGCCCCTCCACGGTTCATCGCTGGGTTGCCACGATGCATGTAAGCATTTCCGCCCATCACGTTCTGTTGATTGGCAGCGCTCTGACTCATCGAGATACGAAGCACCTCCATCGGCGGCGGGATCAAGTCTGGATGCTGCATCATCATAGCCTTTACGCGCGCAAACTCTTCTTCGTACGAGGATGTCGGCGGTCGATAGGCCTGGCCAGACTGACCTCCCATGTACTGGCCAGCAGCGCTTGTAGGCGGCGCTCCACTAACACCACCAGGCATTTGACCCGCGTGCATTTGCTGTTGATACGGTTGGCCAGCGAACTGCTGCGGTTGCCCGTTCTGTTGGTTCATCATCATCTGGTTGGCGTATTGTCGCTGCTGCTGCTGCATCTGCATTTGCTGTTGTTGCTGTTGCTGGTTGCCAATGTGCGGTCGAGCGGACGACGTAGTGGACGGAGCAGACGTCATGGCATTGCTGCTTGACGTGTTGCTGCTAACGGGCGCTGAAGACGCACTAGACTGTGTCGTCGACGTTGCAGACGACGGCGCAGAAGATGCTGCTGTAGATGACGCAGTGGACGTGGCTGTAGTCGAACTCGATGTCTCCGACTTGTGCGGCGCAGACGACGGGGCGGCGCTAGTCGTAGTCGATGACGTCGCGTTGGACGTCGAAGAAGATTGAGTCGTCGACGTTGGAGCACTGCTGGCCTCTTTCTTGGTTTGTGAGTCTGTCTCATTCTTAACGTTCATCTTGGCCTTGTCATCTACAGATGACGCGTCCGTCGTCACGGCAGAAGAAGAAGTGCCAGTGGTGGACGACGAGGGCGCACCGCTCGCCTCGAGCTCCGAGCCGAAGTAGTTCGAGGCCATGTCCCCAGACGAGCTGGTGGGCGGCGCAGAAGACGTAGGCGCCGACGAAGCCGCAGATGTGGGCGCTGCGTTGTCCCCTGGTTTCTGGTTCTGCGTGTTAGGCGAAGGCTTGGGCGAGTCGCCGAAGCTGAAGTCGTTGTCGCCGCCGCTGGGCATGGAGGCGAAAGGGTCGTCTCCGAGACTCTGTACGCCCGTGGGGGTCCCCACACTGAACGGCAGGGCGCCGCCACTGCCGCCGTTGGGCGAATTGCCCATAGGTGCGCTGTTGGTCCAGGAGCCCAGCGAGCCCAAGTCCAGTAGGTCGCCGCCGGCGAAATCGAAGCCGAAGGAATCCATCGCGCTTGGTTAATTGGTTTAAATACTAGCACAAAGACTACAAGACACTATAAGGCGGGAGGATTCCGTCTGCCATGTCACACAACGAGAGATCCACAGGTTACAAGACGCTGAGAAACATAACGAATCGACTGTCTGCGTACCTGGTGAGCGAACGTTCCCTCCCCCGTTTACTGCTGATCCAAACTGAGGGATAAGAAGAGATCGCGGAGTGGCGGACGCGGTCTGTCTACACTGCTGCTTGGTGTCGCTCCCGTCGTTCGTGCCTGCTGCGCGCGGAGGTTTTGTTGGGCCTCTGACGGCTGAAGCGCCCCGTTCAAAACTGAGGGAAAAAGCAAAAATAACGTCTTTGGCGGGCGGGACGAACAGTGTCAAAGTATACTTAAGAAGTGAAAAACCTCGCAATTTTCAAAAAACCTCGTGTTCAAAATATGACAAAAGCGGGGGTTGTGTTCTCCCTGCTCTGGCTTTCTCTCGCGCGCGAAATGCTCCCCCCTCAACTGGTGCACTCCTTGGTGAGATTACTACACCACAGCCGGCGTCACCAGTCGAGCCGCGCGTTTGGCGGCTGATTCCTAGTGTGCAAAATGCATTGTAGTAGTGACGTTTCGTATGTCTAGCAGAATGCTGCGTCAGTCAAGATCGCGCACCTCAACAAAACCTGCGAGAGGCACACTACTCCCACTATTTGAAGCCCGTCGCGATTGGCCAGATCGAACGTAGTTTGGAGTGGCAATTCTGATTGGCTACATTTTCAAGTAACATTGCTAAAATAGTACTGTATCCCTTACAAAATAAGTATGACGAGCTGTAGTATTCTATTAGACCAATACATTTGATATTCTACCAAAATTAATATCTTCCGATTTCCACCGACTGTGTTATAGTTTGCCACAGCGTCAATGCTACCGTGAATAGGGAACTTTCGTTTCTGGACAATCTCGGCACTTTTGGAACATCTCTACTTGCTAAAAAGAAATTGGCGTGCGTGAGTTGGGTGCACAATGCGAATGTGGAGTCTGGAGGACAGTCAGCATGCTTGTGTGTGCTGTTGTGGCGGTAACTGGCAAACCACTTTCAATTATAACTGGTAGCTGGTAATGATAATCCACCGCTCGACTGGGGCGACTGCAGTAACCGCAATATTCATGCGCTTCGGTGCTGTGTGACATCGGAATACGAGACCAAGTCGCGCATTTTGTCTTGGGTTGACCCGAACACCCGATACACATATATGACATCGTTTGGCGCGACGTTGTGCTTGGTTGTAAGCGAGGAGTTGCACGAGGAAACCCGTAGTGTGGAGACGCCACATCTGGATGAGCATCGACAAGAATGGTGTATATGCGCTCGGTGCTGAAAATCTGCATGTACAAGATTACCCACACGGAGTGCGACAACGACAACTGTTACTTCTACATTGACGTCTGCTCGGACAAGACAACCTCGACGCATGCGTTGCATGCGTCCCCTACCCCTCACGCACCGGTTGAGGACGGATCTGAAATAAATAACCTAGCTGACATTGGTAGGAAGCTAAGTATAATACAACCAATCACTTAACACTAAGCACAACAAGAATTTCAAATTTTGAAATCCATACGTATGGAGAAAGCTGGTCAGGGGCAGGCAACCCCCC